TTCATTATGATTTTATATTTGTAAAAATAAAACCAAGTCTTATTTGCTATTTTTCAAATTCAAAATCCCAAATCACAATTTTACATAACAAAGGTCTTTATTTGCAATTTTTCCAATAAAAACACCTATCTAGTAATTTATTTTTAATTGATTGTTTTTTTCAAAAAAAAATATTTTTAAAAACTTAAAAATCAAAATCAGTGTACATCTCTTCTTGGTTTTGTTTTAAAAAATTTTTTCTTTTTCCTTCTTCCCTACTATCCACCACCTATTACTATTAGGGACAACTATTACGTGCCAACATGATTTTCTGAGTTTTTTTTTTCAAACATGATTCTTTAAAATTATTGTCCAAACAAATTCTTTTGTCCAAAACTTGTTCTAAGAAAGAAACAATTTTATAAAATTGTTCTAAGAACAAAGGAAAAAAAAAAAAACAGGCCCATAATATTGGGGAGCGAACAAAAATTGCGAAATAGAATCGAGTGGATGATGATACTATGATGGTACAGTCATCAATCAAATATCGTTAGCAAGGAGAAATAAAACCTTATCATTAAGGCATAAATTTAAACAGCCGACAATAGTCCTGAGATGCAATATAGCAAGAGCAAGTGTCATTAACCAGGGGAAAAAAGGAACAAAAATACAGCCAAAACCGCCAGCACTACATATCCTATGACCAAAAGCATTTAAGTGTTTGTAGCCCTAGTGTAGATCTGCTGACTTGCGTGTGCAGATACCATCCTGATTGAGCCTCTAGCCATCAATTCTCTAATGGCCTTCCTTGCTAGTGATCCATTGATCTGAAATATTCGTGCAAAAAATGAGGGATGGCTCAAATATTATATCACTAGTAGTCATCACTGGCTAATCATTCATCACAGGAAGCAATAATAAGATGCAGATTATACGTCATGTAATCACTTGGCTTTCCCATGGTTCCTGGGCTTCTGCTTACAAGCATTTTCCATACGTGCATGGTTATAGGAAGCGAAGGATTTTATTTGCTTTGCAAAACAAAGACAATAGCGTTTGTTGTAGCAATCACAGCTTGTCTTGGAGCATGAAAAGGAGAAAGTCCCCGCAAATGAACAATGGCAATTAATAAACAAAAGACCGCACGAATGTTCGAAACATAATCAATGAAGTAAGAAGCAAGAGCACATTTCAAGTTTCAGAGCTTACCCAAAACAACTTTTAAGAATGTAAAATGCAAACCAAAGTAGAAGAGCATAGACACGCAGATAAGAAAGAAATTCTACATTACTAATCACACAAACCCTACGTCGGGGGGAAAAAGAAAACATATAAGCGGTCTCTAAAATCTACAATGCATAGTATGCTACAACTGAGTCCACGAGATCAATCTGTGTGTCAAGCAACCTGGTCAGAGTATTCTCAAATACTAACCCTTCAGCCTAACGTTGTCCATTTCATCCTCAACATCAAAACAGCTCCTTTACTCCTACACCCCCCCCGGGGGGGGGGAGCACTTGCCATTATCAGAAAGTTAGAATGACCGTGGTTTTTAAATGATTAGCTGATCCAACCTCATAAAACTAAATCTTATTGGTAAGTTAAGAGAGAAATATACATAGAAAAATTCCACAAGCAATAATTAATCAAATCAAGCACAATTCGACGAAATCTGCAGAATTATTGAAGATGTGCAGCAGCCGACATCAATAGACCGTCAACGCAATCTTATAAGACGAGCTAAACCGCGTGAGAATGGATTGCGTCTCAAATAACACCAATAACCATCAGAATGAAAAATGGAGCATGTAATTAAAAATGTAATTAAAAAAGAGGTGAAGCAATAAGAGGTACCCTCAAACGATCAGAGAGAATGGAAGGTGTGATGAGCTTGTATTTTGGTGCCTCAGACAAGAGCTTGTCATAGGTGCCCTGATCGAAGAGCACCATGTTATTTACCTTCTCCTTCTGCTTTCCCTTGCTCCACTTCTGATAAACACAAAATTCAACTAGTATCGCATAACCATCTGACATATAACTCTAATCAACAGAAAACTAAACTCTAATACTGATTAAAGATGACGAAGACAAAGCTAGACGCACCCCACTACCCGGATTGAAAACTGCCCTTGTAAGAAGATTATTCGGAATAAAAGAAATTAAAATTAACAATAAAATTTGAGAACCTTCTTCTTCTGCTTGCCACCGCCAGACTTGGCAGGTTTCGAGGAAGGAGCAGGACCCTTGTCCTTCTTGGGAGCCTGGAAACAATAACGAAGAAAACCATCAGAGACAGCGGAAGAACCACAGAATCATGATATTAACAGAGAGTCACACATAGGAGAGAAAAAGCTAATAGACATCTCAAGAGAGTAGTCGATTCACACCATTGGATCAGTTCTCAGACTACGATCTCCGATTCGGCAGAAGCACAAGCAGAAGCAAATGGAGGCGAAGCGACTGTGACCTAGGGTTTTTATTTTATACCGGGACGATGCGTAGTGAACCGCTACGACGTCGTTTCCATTTGCAAATTTTTCCAGGTAAGTGAGAAGCCCATTGGGTTGCGTTAAAAAAAGCCCATTATGTTTTATTGCAAAATTTCTCTTCTTGGGTTGGCTTTGGATACCATCGTTCCGATTCCCGAAGGGCAAACTCAAGTATGGGCCACTTGGGCTTTGACCCTCTTAGAATCCCATTTGAAAAAGAAGACAAAGCCACTTGCAATAAAGAAGGAATGGGCCCCAAGTAGCCCCAAAAAATCCCAAAAATGTATAATAGAAATCTGGGAATTAAAAAATGCAAAAAAAAAAAAAACAACAACAGCGCTGGGTCCAAGAGAAAGGGTTAGTCCTTTATAACATGGCGAATCAAGATTAGAATCTCCACTAGAAGAGATGTTCACATTTAATACCTGATAGTGCCTTGAATAGGATTACATCCAATAGAAGGATACCTATATTTTAATCCAAAAAAATGTGTAGAGAGAGAGAGGGGGCAACTTTCAATTAAAAAATATATTTAAAAAATATGGTTAATACAATTTTTGATCTTTCAAATTTGTTATTATTTTGATTTTAGTTCCTCAAATTTCTTTTTATTCAAAATATTGGTTCATATAATCCAATAAAAATTTGGACTATTTTGCCCCTTAAAGAACTAAAACTTATTATTTGAAATATGAGAATCATAACCAAAATAAGTACAAATTTGAGGGATTAAAATCATATTAACCCTGAAAAATTCGAAGCCAGAAGTTATTATATACTACTATATGGTTCTGCCTAGTTGGTGAGGGTATTTTGGAAGTAGAACAGTAACTCACTCACCATTTACAAAAGTGAACCCACCCGTTGGCCTTTTGGAATATATGTTTAGTAATTAAGAAACTAGGAAGAAAGAAACAAAAAGAAAGGGAAAAAGTAAAACACAAATGAAGGAGGAGAGGCGAATCAGTGCGCTTCACATTTTCTCATCGAGCAAGCAAATAATAACTTGGAGCATTATTGTTCATGTGTTATAACAACTCGCATATTAGTGAGGGCTTTATAATTCAAATGATATGAAAATCTCATTTAAAATATTTTTTAAATATGAAGCTGTGAATTTGAACTCTTTATAAAAAAAAAATATAACAAATGATGAGTTATGGCTCAAAAAGATTGCTTATTTTGAAAACTTATATTTATTAATTTATTTAATATTTAATATTCATAAAAAATTAGTAAATGAAAAAATTTATTCAAGGCCTCATAAAATATGTGAAAAATACATGAAAGTATAAAAAGTGCATATAAATTAAAATGAGGTTATTCTATCAATTTATTACATATAGCAGGAGGTTTTGGACCTGTATTTTTATGAAATATGAGTTACATTTTTACTCAATATGGTTAAACTAGTGACCTTAACCAAATTCGAATTCGAACTATTTAAACGGAAAGGAATCGTGGCACAACAATCTAGAAGAATAAACAGCAAATAATAAATTATTACATCCAAAAAGGTGGTAATTACGTTCACATTTGGTTTAGGGAAGACTTTCTGTAACTAACAAAAATACGAAGGAAGTGGAAGACAAAACTTAAACAATGCAACTTAACTTTATCAAAGTGACATAGTTAAAGTTGGAATTTAATAATGTGAGCATAAGATGATGACTTAATAGGAATAAAAAAAATTATGAATATGTGCTGATAATCTTAATACAATTAAATTGGTGAAGTGAAACACAATGTCAAAAAGAGAAAAATGCTGATGGACATGTGACAAGGAAAAAGGATAACCAAAGTAGATATTGGAATATTATGAACAATATAAAAGTAAAAGTTTCAGATTCCAATTCTTATATAATTATGAATATACATGTATACATATACATACATATACATATATATATATATATATATATGATGAACAGCTTAGCATACAATTCCCACGATAATACCTCTTCTTCCCACCAAACATGCAATGCACCTTAAAAAAAAAAGAAAGAAAGAAATTTGATATAGTTGATTTAATTTGATTTTGTACCAAAATTATGCCTTTAGATACATCAAGTTTACACTAAGATATAGGAAAACTATAATTTTTACCCTTGTCTTTTTAATTCAGAACAAATCAATCTTTACAATTTTTTTTACTTGAAATAATTTGGCATCTGTAATTTTCATCCTAATAACTCATTAACAAATTCTTCTGAGTTGGGGATTAGATTGATGATAATTAAATAAATTAGGGATTTTTTTTACCAGCAAAATAAATTAGGGATTAAAACTATGGTTCCCTAAAATAAATTATTAATAGATCCAAATAATTTGGTACTTGGAGCTTTGTGTATAAAAATTGGAAGAATTTCACACACATATAGTTCAGATTCAACCACATTTATCTATCACTGATATTGAAAAATAAAAGAAAGAAAAAGAAGAAAAGAAAAGAAAAAAGAAGAAGAAAAAATCTTCCTCCTCATTGGGGAGTCTCTATAAAGCTTTACTCTGCTCCCTCCATTTGGCTCTGAGAGCTCCTTTGAGCCTTCCCCTTCTTCCCTTCCTCTATTCCATGCTTTTTTCTCTCCCAATTTTTTCAGTTTAGCACTTATCTGCTTTGAGATCTATGGATTTTCTCATTGACCCTTTTGAATAACACCCTCATTTACTGTCTCTGTTAACCAAATATTTCGGTATTCTCTCCCAGACTCTGCAAAACCCAAAAATGGATTCTTTCAATCTTGCAAATCTCAAAGCCGGAAAAGCTAATGCAATCATGAAACAACAAAAGTTCCGAAGGATTGCCAACTTGTTTCGTCTTGTTGAGGTTTGTGTTTTTCTGATCTTACTCTCAAGGATTTCCTTCCAGGTTCCGGTTGCAGTCAAGAACTCCGGCGACTACTTTCGTGGCTTCTCGGTCTTCATGGTCAGTCCCCGGTTTGTATTCGTGATCGGAAACATCATCATCATCACACTCTTTGCTCAGTCAGGCCAATTCACAGCTCGTGGTTCTAAATCCAAGAGTTTAGAGAGTGATCTTTACCAACAGTTCATCCAAAACATCACAAAGAATCAGAAAATCAAAGAAGAACAGAACAACTTCCCAGAAAAACACAGCATAAGAACAGAGGATGAAGGAAATCAGAAACACCCAGAAAATGATAGTACAATAGCCGAGGATCCCACAAAGGATCAGAAAACAGTTATTAACGAAGCAAATAAAAATCACCCAGAAGGCATGAAAAAGGAGATATTCGACGAAGGAAAGATCAAGTGGTTAAAGAAAGAGAATATAAGGACAAGGGATAGGAAGGGTTTGGATTACAGAAGGTGTGAGACACAGAAATCAATGGAATTCGAGAGAGAGAAACCTGGGAGTGTGCTAAGAAGATCAGAGACAGAGAAAATCACAATTTCAAACGAAGAGGATGGCATGAGCAACGAGGAATTTCGCCGAGCTGTTGAAGAATTCATTGCTCGGCAACAGAAATTGCGAAGGGAAGAAGAGAACTCTATAATTTGAATTTTCAATACACGGTTACCGTTAGCATGTAAATTTACTTATTTCTAGCTGTAATTACAGCTTTTTTTTATTGTTTCTTTTTTTTTTTTTTAAGTTTCATCCAAGTCATATTATATTATCTGTGTAAATAGGTGTGGAAAAGACTGTATGAATGCTGGTGAAAAAAAGAAAAAAAGAAATGACTGTATGAATGTAAGTTTCTTTTCCTTTTTTTTCGTCCAAAATTGTTTGAACGTAAGGACCGTGCATTTCTTTTTTCCTGTATTCGGAGAATTTATAATTATTAAAAAGAATTTATGTATTTTTTACAAGAAAATTATAATAAGATCTCAATAAAAGAAAACAATTACAAATAAATTCAACAGGTTATCAGTTTTTACTCTGAAACTTGTCATTATAACTTGATTAAGTTATTATTAAGATTTTTTAATAATTATTTTTCTTACTTAGACGTGATTGTAATTCTCTCTTCTTTTTACGATATAAATTGTTTTTATATAGCTCTCATTTCAAACTCAGCAATACTTATTAGACTTGAAACTAGTTGGATAGTATATGGCTATTACTTGAAAAAAAATCTTAATCCTATTCACAATTTTCGTTTGGGAATGAGGAATGCTCTTCCCCAAACGGCGTTTGGGGATGAGCCATTTACCTTTTTTTTTTTTTTTATTAATGTTTTATTTGGGTTAAGTTGATCGAAGACTCTAAGTTTTTTAAGTAGTAGTCAAGATCTTAAATTAATTAGTTTTTAGTTTATTTATTACTTTGAAATTTTTTTGAGTGGCATTTAGTATCTTAAACTAATTTTTTTATACATCCATTATTCTGAAGTTTTTTTAAGTAGTACCAAATATCCTAAATTAATTAATCTTTAGTGAATATAATACCCTGAAATAATTTTTTTCAGTAACTCAAATTTTCTGAAAATTTTTTTTATGCTTTTAGTACTTTAAAATATTTTTCTAACAGCACCCAATATTCAAAATTAATTACTTTTTAGTGCATATAATACCTTGAAATATTTTTTTTTCATTGTACTCAGTTTTCTAAAATAATTTTTTAAATCATTTATTATTTTATAATATTTTTCAATAGCACCCAGTATCCTATATGTTATAAAAAATATTTTAGAATATTAGATATATTAAAAATTAATTAATTTAAAATACTAGATGTTACTAAAATAAATTTTGAAATACTGAATGCACAAAATATTAATCAATTTAAGATACTAGGTGCTGGTTAAAAAACTTTTTCAGATGATGAAACTTAGATTAAAAAAAAAAAAAAAGAGCATGGTCCTCATCCCCAGATGGGGATGAGCATGCCTTACCGATAAATTTGATGAACAGGGCATGTAGACAAGGTGTTTAGTTTAATTTAAAAATATTTTCTAAAAGTATTTTCATATAAATAAAAAAAATTTCTCACATACTATATCATAAAATCATTTTTATTTTTTTTAATTTGCTTTAACTGAACTACTATAATTCAAAAAAAATGTCGTGAAGAAAAAGCAAGCTCTTAGGGGACAGCATTTCAGGGGAAGGGAATAGCATTCTTCGACCGTGTTTGGATCACCGTTTAAACATAAAAAAGTGCATTGGAAACTGCAAAATGCTGGCTGATGGTGTGGTTAGAAATGGAGTGTTATTTGAATCAACTTTTTTCCCATCTAACTTCTGAATAAAAAGCTCGTTGCAACACAAGTCAATTTTTCAGCTTTTGCCCATTACCAACGTGGAGAGAGAAGATAAAATGAAGATGAGAAGAAAAATAAAAGTATTTAAGTGGGTCTTAATCTTGACCTAATAAAAAAATTAACTAATAAAATTTAATTAATTTTAATTTATTATTTTTTTCAAATTTATCAAAATGTATACATATGGTATATTACATTCACTCCTTAATGTAAGACCCTAATAGATTAATTTGAACAGATTAAAAAAGCTAAACAAATAACTTAATCATATTATATGTTCCATAATCTCTCTAAAATACTTATGTATATTATTACATTACATATTAATTTATAAGTCAAACAAATTAATTTAAAGAAAAATGATAAATATAAGTACTTTATAATAATTTATTTAACTTTTTGAATCTTCACAAATTAGTTAACTGAATCTTATATAAAAACTTATGATATTTTCAGTCATTTTACATTTAAACTTATTTTTTTGTTATCCATCCAAAAAGTTTCAACTTTTCAAGATAATTTTTTGAAAACTAATCCAAACATAAATATATTATGCTAACTGATTTTTATTCTAACTAATTTTTATAAAATTCAGTTTTGTCACCGTTAATTTAAACACATCCTTCTATAATAATTAATTGGCACTGTGATTTGATGCCCCAATTCTCATTTGTGCCCTTCAAAAAATTGTGGAGCCCAGGAAGAAGAAAGAGTTCCCGAATAATTATATTCTCGCGCTGCTATGTCATGGGACTGGACTGAGAGGCATAACGTCATTTGTGAAATTAGCTGCCCAACTGGTGGAACCTCAATTGACAACTATTATTGTCTGCCACTGTGTGAATAATTAAGCTTCCTGTCTTTTTGCTACCGAGAAAACTTTTTTTTTAAATTTAAGAAGGGACTGTCGGAATAAAAAAATTGTAAATTGGAACCCATGACAATATTAGTATAGGTTTTAACAAGAATAATATAAGTTTTGACAATAATTTTTATAAATAGGTCCTGTTTGCAATTTTTTATTAGAAAAATTACAATTAGGTTCCACCCAATGGAATTAAATACAAAAAGGTCCCTTGAAATCATAAAATTATTCCGAAGTCCCAAGAGACTTTTTTGTAATAAATTTTATTTGTTTAATGACCAAATTACCCTTCTTTTTTTTAAAAAAGTTTGCATTGACAACTAAAAGAGCAGTGGTTGCAACTTAAGGTGCAAAGATTGACAACTATCGTGACTAATTTGACAATTTAGAGTGTGATATGCTGAGAAAATGTGTTATCAAACAAGCCGCGATAGTTGTCAATCCTTGCACTCTAAGTTACCAATCACTGCTTTTTCAGTTGTCAATGCAAACTAAAAAAAAAAAGGATAATTCGGTAATTAAACACATAAAATTTATTGCAAAAATGTCTCTTTGGACTTCAGAATAATTTATGATTTCAATGGACCTTTTTATATTTAATTCCCTTAGGTAGGATACAATTGCAATTCTCCCTTCTTCTTTTTTATTTCAACAATCCTTTTTTGTGATTTTCCCTTAAAAAAAAGCTTTTCTGTCTTTCTATAACTTACAGATCTCTCAGTCAGTTTCATTCAGGCAGTTTCAATAGATATATAAAATGTCACTTCCCAAGAACAGAATATTTACTATAAGAGAACAATTCTCAGATATTTTATGCCTTCTATTGATCATCACTAATCTTTTCATTCAGAATATATCTCATGAATGTGACCCATCCAACTGCTTATTTATGATGTGTCTAATAAGTTCACTTCTATGGATAGGAATATATGTGACGTTGATGCTTCATTTTGCACAGTATACATAATTGACACTATTAACAAAGATATGATTTTTATTTTTCTATATAATAATAGGGAGAATCCCAATTAAATCACGTTGAAATATCAAAATTTAAATTAATGTTTGCACTTTTAACAAATCCCTAATTAGTTCAAAGGACCTTATTAGGAATTTTTTAATGTTGTTAAAAGACTAAAATGCTCCTTTAAGTTAACAAATTGGTAATTGCTCTAATCAATTCATGACCTAGCTTCGTTTTTTTTAAATATTGCCAAATGATCCATCGGCTTCACGTATTCTATGATTTTTTTGTATAAATTTATATTAAACAGTTTATATTACTCCATCTGTCTCATCAAACATTGGGAAAATTATTTAGATTTCTAATACAATGTCATATTAATTATGTATGAATTTTAGTAATAAGATTATAAAATATAACAAGATGAGAACTTCTATATGGCAGATATAGTAAAGCACTTAAGGAAAAAATAATAAATTTGATGTTGAAATCTACAAATACATTGAGATTCTGATTTTTTAACTATAAGAAAAAGATTTCCTTTGAAAAATTATTAATTTAATGGCGTTGGAATCAAGTAATTAAAAGGGTCCCTATTCCCATCACCAAAAAAAGAGAGTCCATATTCCCATAAATTTCTTATCAGTATATTAGAATTAGGATAAAATATTATATCATGCATTGTCAATTTTTTGTTCTTAGTATTTCCAAATTTTCTTATGTAAAATATTTTTTAAAATAAATACTATACAAGTTTTTATGATTTAATTTTTGTCTTCAAAATAATATTATTTTAAGTTATAAAAAGGCATTTTAGTTTTTTAACAACATTCAAAAATTTCTAATAAGGCCTTTTGGCCTAACTAGTAGTTTGTTAGAAGTGCAAGCCTTAATTTGTGTTTTAATATTTCAAGCATATTTAATTAGGATTTTTCCTAATATATATTTGCTCTATGCATGAAAGTTTTTCGTACCTAAAAAAATATTTAAAAAATTAGTTAAATTAGTTATTTGTAATAAATAAGTGTTGTCTTCTGTAAAATACCTATGTTAATTATATGCATTAACTATAACTATTATTTGATAAAACCGTTAACATGTGTAACTACTACAAAGATTAATGTTAATTGTTACCTTGTGAAAAAAATAGATAAATACTATCCCCGGCCCTTAATAAAAGAGCTAATTGACTAATTTGAGTAGATTAAGAAAGTTTTTTAAGTTAGTTATTTATAATATACAGGTATTGTCTTTTCTAAAATACCCTTGCTAATCAAGTGTATTAGGTTTAATATTTGATGAAATATTTAATATGTACAACTACTACAAGGATTACTTACAAGAATGAATAAATGTGAAAAACAAAGTGGATTAGATTTTTATATTTAGAATCAAAATGAAAGTCAAACTAACTCTTATATTAAGGATCAGAAGTAGTATAAGAGACAAAATGAATCGATGTCTTATATTTATAATCAAATTAAATATCAAAATAGTTCTTACATTACTTACAAAAGTTAGTATAAATGTAAGGATTGTTCATTTCTTTTTTTTCCACACGTATTCGAGAATTTATAATCATTAAAAAGAATTTATATGTTTTTTACAAGAAAAAGAATTTTTATATACATACCTACATACATATATTTTGTTTTTATAATTATTAATTGTTTTTATATAGCTTTCATTTCAAACTCAGCAATACTTGTTGGACTTTAAACTAGTTGGATAGTATGTGGTTATTGCTCGTAAAAAAATCTCAATCCAATTCACAAGTGAATATACTTGGCAGGCTAAAAAATTGATTATTTGATGTGTGGGCTGTGAATTATGGAGAATGAATTGAATCGATAGATGGTATAAGTTTTGTTGGGATAAGGCATAAGTAATTCTAGTCAAAGTTTGGACCATTTGCATGAAACACAAAAATACTCCCACCGTTACACATAAAAAAAATTATAGTCAAAATTATTCAATCTTTAAAAATTGATTGCATTTTTTCACTTACAGCGTTAATTAATTCTCATTATCTTCATCTTTCTAATTTCCTGTATAAGATTAATTTTCATTGACACTAATTAATTCTCAATATTTTCATCTTTTTACTATTAAATGTTGGGATCAACGGGTAAGAGCGTTGTTGCAACTAATTCTCAAGATTTTCATCTTTTTTGGCTTGCAGACCCTATATTTCGAACCTTCCTCTTTTAAACCAAACGGGTAAGAGCGTTGTTAAACCTCATTGGTAGAGGTGCCATTATAAAGGGTTCCACATCCCTCGATCTAAATTAATCTAAGCTCTGCTAAGTTCTTGAGTTAAAAGAGAAAGGTCCGAAATATAGGGTGTGCAGGCAAAAGAAAATCTTATATAAAAAATTTGCGTATTTATTTATTAGGTCGGCTAAATCTTTTATTCATTATTTACAAACATTTTGTGAAAATTATTAATTATTTTAAAATATTTGATAAAATATCTTACTGTATGATAGACCACCAAGACATTTCATTCTGAATAGGACACCAAAACCTTCAATTTATTTTTTTTTGGTTATAACTATGAAGTAGAACATTTGAGTTAATAGGGTATCTGGTTTAATGCAAAAGCATTTTTAAAAAGTATTTTCATACGAATCAAGATAAAATTCTTACATATGTACTTCATATATTATAAAATGATTTTTAAAATTATAATTTGGTTTCTGTCTAAGCACTCTTATTTAAAATGCAGAAAGACTTGTAAGGACAAAAGCATACCCCGTCTCTCTCTCTCTCTCTCTCACTATCTAATGAAGATTAAGCAAGCTGCAAGGGGGCAGAATTTGAGAGAGAGGGAATATCATTCCCTATAATTGGTACTGTGATTTGAGGGTGTTTGGATAATAATAAAATCATGGTTTTAAAAATGTTTTTGCGGTATACAGTGTAAATATGTGGATGGGCTTGTCTCGATTTATGAAAAAATGCTTTTGAAAATTGATTCTGGGTTACCCAAAGTCCCAAACACCCCTTTGATGCCAAAATTCCCATTTGGGCCCTCCAAAAAAATTGTGGAGCATAAGAAGAAGAAAGAGTTCCCGAATAATTATATTCTCTCACTGCTATATCATGGGACTGGACTGAGAGGCATAACGTCATTTATGAACTTAGTTGCCCAATTGGTGGAACCCCAATTCGCAGCTATTATTGTCTGCCACTGTGTGAATAATTAAGCTTCCTGTCTTTTTTCTACCCAGAAAAATAATTTTTTTTAAAAATTAAAAAAAAAAGCTTTCTGTCTTTCTATAACTTACAGATCTCTGAGTCATTTTCATTCAGGCATTTTCAATGGATATATAAAATGTCACTTCCCAAGAACAGAATATTTTCTATAAGAGAACAATTCTCATATATTTTATGCCTTTTCTTCTATTTATCATCACTACTCTTTTCACTAAGAATATATCTCATGAGTGTGACCCATCCAACTACTTACTTATTTATGACGTGTCTAATAACAATTTGTCTTCATTTTTCACAGTATACATAATCGACACCATTAAAAAAATATGATTTTTATTTTTCTGTATAATATATATTTGCTCTATGCATGAAAGTTGTTATATATAGAGCAAATATGTTGAAAATGTCTGCCTTTTTACTTTTCGTACTTCAAAAAATGTTAGTCCCTGTTATCCACAGAAAATATTATTAATCCCAATATATGTGCAGAGTATTTTTAACATCTTAAAAAAGAATTTCTGATATTTGCCATGTTCTTCTATTCCCCACCACACAATCAAATCTCATGACTGAGTCCAGCTACTGAACTGCTACTTTTATAAATGCTCACGCTTCCACACCACATGCACACCTATCTTTCCTTTCTCGATTTGTGTGTATTATTTTTGTGCGACAGCGTGCCAATCTTCTCTGTGTATCGTTTCAATTTTATCGGATGTTCCTTTGAAGATCTTTGATAATTTGTTATCTTATTCTTATAAACATCGTTGTTAATTTGTCAATTTCATCTTTCCTTTGGCACAGCTATACCATTGTTAATTTAATTTGTTACCTAATCCTTCTTTTTCGCATCACAAGATCACTGCCAAACCTGGGACTTTTGTATTTTGCTTTTGATTTTAATATTTTTAAAATTTAAGTAAATTATTTTTTTTGTTAAAGTATAGGTATCCTCTTATTAGAGATAATTTTATTTGAGACACTGTCAGGCATTAAATGTTGGTACCTCTCTTAGTGAAGATTCGAATCTTAGTTTACCACGTTGTGAGGAACTAATCTTTTCCGTTAAACTCAACCCATGTTAGTAAGTAATTCAAAGCTAGTTTGAATAATTTGGGCATATCCTTGTAAATATCGAATAGAACCCAAGTTTTACAGAGGTACAAAACATTCATGATTTAAATTTTTTGTATGTTCTATCAACAGCGATTAGGGGCTGAGTATTTTACTACAGCATGAAGTCAACAAATGCTACTTTTTTTTTTTTTTTTTCCGGTGAAACAACAAATGCTACTTTAATTTCCTTAATTAAAAAAAATGTTTATTTTCCTTTACAAAATCCTCTGCCAAATTTCTTCTTCATTCCCTTTGATCCAGCATCTATAGTGTTCTCGCACACTTGTATCATTATAAGTTATAGTATTATGATTTTGATAACATTTTAACGAATAAAATCATTTTTTCAAGCCCCTTCATTGTGCCAACCAAATGTGAATGCACTAAGAAATTTGTTTCCTCTTGTTAAGAATAATAACGCAGAAAAGAAAAGAATGATAAAACATAAAAAGAGAGGGTCTCTTTTGGTACGGGGTAGTAAAAATATATCCAAGGAATTATATCTTGGGAAATTTAAGTTGGAAAATTTTTAAAATATAATGACATTTATTTATAAAATAGAAGGAAAAAAGAAAGTCTCACATTTAGAAACTTTAATCTAATTTCCTAAAATAAAATTGCTTCCGATACTGGTTATTTTGTTCCAAAATCACAGTGTGAAATTTAACAATGAGAAAATTACAATAAAGTCTCACCCAAGAGAATTAAATATAAAAAGGTTCCTTAAAATAATTAAATTATTCTGAAATTCTAAAAAACCTCACTGCAAAAGAATTTATTTATTTAATTATCAAATTTTCCTTTTTTTTAAGTATGCATTGATAACTAAAAGAGCAGTCGTTAACAATTTAGTGTAACGATTAACAACTATCACAGCAGGTATTGACAACATATTTTCTTAGCGTATTATAAAAATATAATACATGAGTTGTTAATAGCTACTTCGATAATTGTTAATTTTTACATTTTAAGTTGTTAACGACTACACTTTTAGTTGTTAATGTATACTTTAAAAAAAAGATACAGACAATTTGATAACTAAACAAATAAATTTTTTTGTAATGACGTCCCTTGTGACTTTAAAATAATTTAATGATTTTAAGAGATTTTTTTGTATTTAGCACTTGATTGCAATTTTTCCTTTAACATTTTGCATGTAATTACCGCTCTTTCATATCCCCCTTCGATGGGATCTGGCGTACGGAAAAGGATAAAAATCGCCTCAAAATCCCTTAAACGATGATTTTGCAGATATTATTCTTTTATCCTCTTAAACATAAGAGTTATTGATAAAAGTTGATTTAGTTTAATTTCAACGCCCATGATAGTAATAAGCACTATAGTGCACATCCCCGTGATAAGATCTACATGATCCAAATATAGTTTCAACGATTCAGATATAAAATTTGTAACATATAATTTTTAAATAATAAATTATTTTTAAAAAAATTGATAGTAAAAAAATTATTTTTATTTTAAATTCTATACCCGTTAAACTAATTATTTTGAAAAACTAAAAAGCATAAACCTAGACAATTAATTAAGTAATGAGCACCAAAACACTAAGTTATTTTAGTCTTAAACATAAGACATTAATTCACATTTTCTTTCACATATATACACATATCATTTTTCTCAAACTAATTTATCTAGCTCATATAAAATCTAGTATTAAACTTTAGGGAATCAGTTTACATTTGTTGGAAATCGTGCCCACGCGATGATAGGGTATCAAAGGGATGATGATATATAGCTAATATTTATTAATTAAGCAGAAGCGATCATACCAAGTTTGGACGTCATCTTCGGTGGGCATTATTTCTATATAAAGCATGGCAATACGTAGCTAGCCGACATTAAGCGTGGATTTGAGCTAACCCATCAAATCAATGGCGTCCAAAGTTATGGCTGTAGAACGAGTCCTTCATATGAATGGGGGTGTTGGAGAAACAAGCTATGCCAACAACTCTCTAATTCAGGTGCGCTCTCTTGTGCTCGGAGATATTAACTTTAAAAGAAGTGTGGTTGTTTGAGGATATTGATTCTGTCTTGTTTTTATATTTATCATTTAGTTTTAAGAATGTGAAAGATCCGATCTTTTTGAGTGATAAAGATGTTGTTTTTGAGCAGAGAAAGGTGTTGATGAGAGTGAGACCCATACTCGAAGAAAGCATCAAGAAGATGTACTGCACTAATGCTTCAACTTGTTTGAAAGTCGCAGACTTGGGATGTTCTTCTGGTCCTAATGCATTTTTGGTGGCTTCTAACGTTATTGATATCGTCAATGAAACAAGTCGCCGATTGAAGATTGAAACACCCACATTTCAGTTTTTCCTGAACGATCTATTTGGGAATGATTTTAACTCAATCTTCCAGTCACTCCCAGAGTTCTATTACACTCTGAAACAAGACACAACATGTTTGATAAATGCAATGCCTGGAACTTTCTATGGCACCCTCTTCCCCTCCAATTCCATCCATTTCTTCCATTCCTCTTACTCTCTTCACTGGCTCTCTCAGGTCATCGTCATCTATATATCTTCAACTCCCAACGAATATTCTCTATTTCTTTTTCCAATCATATATATACTAACGTTGGATTACGTATATTATTGCATGTTGGGGAACAGGTTCCAGATTTGTTGAGCAAGGAAGCAAAACTATCAGATGATGACAAAGGGAATATATATGTGACAAGCACTAGTCCTCCATCATACGCTAAACAATTTAAAGAAGATTTCACACTATTCTTGAGATCACGTTCCCGGGAATTGGTGCCTGGCGGTGGTATGCTCCTTGCATTTATTGGCAGATATGATACTTCTCAAAATATAACTGCTGCAGGACTCTTCCGTATGATACTTAATGACATGGTCTTAGAGGTAAACTCAAAATCATTAAATATGATTAGTTATGTTTTAATGAACTATATGTGCAGTATAAATTTTAGTAACCGTAATAAGATAACAAATGAATGATGCAGAATTTGATTGAAGAGACGAAGTTAGAACATTTCAATGTGCCAGTTTATGTTGCTACTGCTGATGAAGTTAAGGAAATCATAAAGGAAGAAGGGTCTTTCAGCGTTGAAAGATTAGAGAGTATTGAAACAAGTTGGGACGGATCAAGCCTAGATGACAAAGGTTATGAGAGTTTTAAGGATGACAATGAGAGAGGGAAGTTCGTAGCAAGATACTTAAGAGCTGTGTTTGAGCCTCTTTTGAAAGCACATTTTGGAGAAGGAATTGTTGAAGAAGTCTTCCTGAGGTTTCAGAATAAGGTTGTCCAATTGCTGCCCAAATTGGTGTATCCTACTTTGGTCATATCTCTTACTAAAATTGCTTGAATAGTGAGCGCCAATGACTTTGAATGAACTATATATATGCTTCTTGGCTGATGTCTTGTTCTTCTGTCGTAATATACGACAGAGTCGTTTTCCATTAATGCTGTATCAATAATATCATTCTTTTACTCTCTCTTAATATTATTTGTCAGTTTCTTCTATTTATCAATATTGATGAGAGAAGCTCATGCAGGTGTAAAGCTAGTTATTATTATACTTATTAGGTATAATAAGAGGACAATGATTCAAGATTTCCAATGTTTCAACGGCTCCTAGAAAAATGATCTTGATAAAGATATCGATTATTTAAATATCACAATTTTTTCCCAAAATAGTTTGTAGTTTAATTTACTCTGACCTAACCTTTAATTGTACAGTTGTGATATGTTATTACAAAACTTTAATGGTTAATATGGAACGGAGGAATACTTTTCTTGTATATTTTGAAAATAACATAGCCATCTTTCCGATTCAAGAAACCATTGCATGCGGCACCAGAGATTTTCCCGAACCTAAAATATAGGCCCAAGGCCAACATAGAACTAGTTTTTAAGCCCCAAAAAAAAGGCAACTAGTTTGGGTGCTGATCAAATATGATGATCACCTTAAACTTATCAAATTTAAGCTATCCAAATTTGACCTAGATAGTCCAAATTTAATATTTTAATTAATTATTTTAAATAAAAAATTATTTATTTTAAATTTTATGCACAACAACAACGTAACAACGCCTTATCCTACTAAATGTCTAAATGGCTTCAGTTATATGGATTGTACAACGTGATTGAATTCTATTTAAAACCAAATCTTTGTATATATTGTTAATTAAAAGATCTCGTTTAATGATTTTATTAAGTGTTTTCTTGGCCTTCTTCTACTTTTTTTCGAGGATTTCATACTGTTTGATCAACTCTTCTCACTGACACATCGAAAGGCCTCTTTGCATGTGATCAAACCATCTCAAATAGTTTTCTACCATTTTTTCATCAATAGCAGCCACTTTAGCTTTTTCGTGTATATGTTAATTACGAATCTTATATTTTTTTGTATGACCACATATCCATCTTACCATATTCTCATCTCAGCTGCCGCTACTATGTTCATGTTGTCCTTTTTAAACCAAACACTCACTACCATATAGCATTACTGGTCTTATAGCAATGTGATAAAACTTTTCTTTGACTTTATTAGGTACTTTCCGGTCACATATAACTCTTGTCACTTTTATGTATTTAAACCACCCAACTTGAATACTGTAATTGATATCACCATCAATTTTACTATTTTTTGTATAATTGATTCCAAATATCCAAATTTTTTCACTCATGGAATGACTTGATCTCTCAATCTAACCTCCAATTCTGTTCTAGCTTGTCTTTTATAAAAAAATACAATGCAAATATTTTGTCCTACTTATACTCAAACAAAAACCCTTCAACTCCAAAGTTCTTCTCCTTGTCTCAAATTTAGCAGTAATCTAGTTTTTTGACTCAGCCAAGAGAACCATGTCATTAGCAAAAAGTATGCACTTAGGGATTTCTTCTTTAACATGCTTAGTTAGAAACTTGAGGAATAGATTAAACAGATAAGAGCTCAAAGATGATCCAAAACATAGGCCAATCGTTATAGGAAAGTCTTTTGTCTTATCACTTGGTGTTCTAACACTGGTTGTGACCCCTTCATACATATCTTGTATTACTTTGATATAAGTGACATGCATGCATTTCTTTTCCAAAGTTTTCTAAAGCCCTTCTCTCGATACACGGTCATAAGCTTTTTTTAAATTGATAAAAATCATATGCAAGTCTTTGCTGCGGCTTCGATAATTTTTCATTAATCTTTTTAGTAAAAAACTCGCTCTTTTTGTCGACTTACACTTATTAAAATAATTATTTTAAAAAATAAATTAAACATAGATAATCCAATTTGATGTACACAGTCAGGATGAGATGTGCTTGAAGCATCCAAACTCATTCCAATATGAAATCTTCACATATATTTTCTGATGGACCCTGACATGAAATTCTTAGTTAATTTTTTTCTTCAAAAAAATCATAATTAATATATTTTTATTTAAAATTTTATATTCATAAATCAATAACTTTAAAATAAAAGTGAAAAAAAAAGAGATCTGGTTCATACTTAATAAGTTAACTATTAAAATAATGGGATGCGACAGACATAGAAATGCGTGCATTATGAATTGAATGCGAAAAAAAAAAAACCATCAAGTCTTGTACTTCCGAAGGAATTGATGCTGCACATGCACGCGTCGATCGGACCCATATAGCATAAGCACACGACGTGACGATAATGCCGTAACAATATTATTAAATACTACCTCCGGTTCTAATTATAAAAGTCAGTTGACTAATTTGAAGAGATTAAAGAAGTAAATTAAGTTAGTTATTTGTCCTAAATAGGTGTTGTATTTCCTAAAATATTCTTACTAATCAGTAATCAAGTGTATTAACTAGAACTATAATTATTAAAAGGACTATCTTAGAAAAAATTGGATAAATATAAAAGATAAAGTGAATTAGAGTCTTATATTTAGGGTCAAAATAAAAATCAAATAGAGTCTTATATTAAGGATCGGAGGTAGTATTATTATTGCAGCCCCAACAAATAGTGCTAACGCCTAACGAGGGTGCTTTTTTTTATTTTTTATTTTATTTTTTACCAGCCTAACGAGGTGCTACTTGCTTAGGAGATTGTGTAAATACATTTTCGTTTAATTAGCTCAATTATGGATTATTCTGATCCCTTAATTTTCAGTTACATTATTTAATTTATGGACTCTTTGGCAAAGATTTAATAATCACTTGTTTTACGTAAATTGAGACAAAATTTTTCTCACATGTTTACTCTATTACGCTGTTATGTGTTAAAAAAAACCATCTATATACATTTCATGAAGTTATAATATTATTCCTTCCGAGGGAGATTTGTTGACGGATTCTCTCTGAAATATTGACAACCAGTTGCTCGATTATCGGTACTCGATAGAAATTAAAAACATGAACTTGGCATAAAATTATCTAAAATAATCAACAATCATTTCTCTGCTAGATATTTGAAGATATTGCTCATTTTTATATGAAAATGAGCTGGGCAATTCTGAAAGGAACGGATTTTCTTAAAGATATGGTTGTGCATTTCTATAAAGCATATGATTACATAACAATAGGTTTCCTACATTTTAGAGTAGTGGAGGTTATTAGTCATCCATCGTCAACAACAGCCATGGGCTTGCCCCTAGAGCAAGTGCTTCGTATGAATGGAGGTGTTGGACAAACAAGCTACGCCAACAACTCTTCAATGCCTGTACGTTACGTTCTATTCTATTCAAACATATTTATCTGGGGTTTGTTTTCACCTGTACTTGTTCTAACACATATAAGTAGTTTTATATAAGTTGAGATAAAATACCTTCTTGTATTTATCTTAGTTGGTGTCAAATAAGTATATGTTTTTTTTTCTAATTGAAATTATGTATTTTCATATATCATTAAGTAGTTCTTATTTTTAAAAATTATGGTAAATTAGATGTTATTTCAGTTATATTTTAACTTTTTAAATTTAACTTTAATTGTATTTGAGCAGAAAAAAGTGATGATGAGAGTGAAACCAATAGTTGAAGAAAGCATTGACAAGATGTTCCACACCAATCTTCCAACTTGTATGAAAGTGGCAGATTTAGGGTGTTCTTCGGGACCAAATACCCTTTTGGTGATATCTAACATTACTGACATTGTGAATGAAACAAGTCTGAGATTGTTGAGCCTCCCCAATTCCAATTTTTCCTAAACGATCTATTTGGGAACGATTTCAATGCAATCTTCAAGTCACTCCCAGAGTTCTACCACACTCTGAAACCAGACACAACGTGTTTGATAAATGCAACTCCTGGCACATTCTATGGCATCCTCTTCCCCTCCAATTCCATCCACTTCTTCCATTCCTCTTTCTCTCTCCACTGGCTCTCTCAGGTCATCATCATCAGCATCTACCTTCATCATCTTCCAACTCAAATTCTCTATTTTCTTTTACATATAAATGTATACGTTCGTAACGTTGGATTCCATATATTGCATGTTGTGGAACAGGTTCCCGATTTGTTGAGCGAGGAAGCAAAAATAGCAGATATTGATAAAGGGAATATTTATGTAACAAGCATTAGTCCTCCATCATACGCTAAACAATTTAAAGAAAATTTCACACTATTCTTAAGATCACGTTCCCAGGAATTGGCGCGCCTGGCGGTGGTATGCTCCTTAGCTTCATTGGTAGATATGATTCTTCTCAAAACATATCATACTCAATGACATGGTCTTAGAGGTAAACTCAAATTATTAAATGTAATTAGTTAAATTTAATCATTACCAACTCATCATATGCTTTTTGAACTATATTTGACTCATTTCTTATTTATTCATGATCAGTTTAATCAACGTATAGTCTTTTTTATTTGAAGAAATGTGTTATAACAATTTGATTGAAAGGTGCAGAATTTGATTGAAGAGGGGGACTTCGAGCATTTCAACATGCCGATTTATTTTGCCGAGGCTGATGAAGTCAGAGGAATTATAAAGGAAGAAGGGTCTTTCATTGTAGAAAGATTAGAAAGTATCAAAACAAGTTGGGACGGATCAAGCCTAGATGAAGCAGGCTGTGAAAGTTTTAAGGATGACAATGAGAGGAGAGTTTGTAGCCAAAGGCTTAAGAGCTGTGTATGAGCCTGTTTTGAAGGCGCATTTTGGAGAAGGGATCATTGATGAACTCTTCTTTAGGTTTCAGAAGAAGACTGTCCAATTGCTGCCCAAATTGGTGTATCCTACTTTGGTCATATCCCTTACTAAAATTGTTCGAGAGCCATTGGCATAGTTTTTATAAAATAGCAGAACGATGAAATAAACTATATCCGAGTACTTTTCTTTCATATGGATGCTTGGAAGATTCTTCCATTCATTATTATTTGTGTGTTTGAATGAACTGTATGT